GTGGTCGTAGAATTTCGTTTCTGTGAAAGAGTGCCAAATATTTGCACATCTAGCGCAGTGATAGTACAGGTCCTACTTAGAAGTAAGTTCTCAAGTGCGAAGTGTTCTCAAATTTAGAAGTATATAGTATCTGGATCACTAGCTTTCAATTTGTGAGCGCTGTAGAATCCTTACGCTTCATTTCAAGACTAGCGAATACATTGTTGTGCGAAAACAAAATAGTAGCTACCCTACAACTTTTGATACGTCGCCCACATTCCCATAAGCCGTGTTACGCCCCCAAAACTTGGGTTTATCCTGAAGGAGTTGAAAAGTGGGCTTGGGAAAGAAAAATACGTGGGCAGATCTGCCCGGAGTGAGGCCGCCCTTCTGCATGCCATCTGTAGGTTCCCATCTTGAAACTTGATGATATAGCTTGGACGACAGAAAGATGTTGAGTTGAGAAAGAATATTCAAAGAGTGATTTACCTGAGCTTGGCATGGAGTTGAGGGATGATCATATAACCACCTGTATAGGCACCAAATGGGACGCTGATAGAAAAGCCTGCGTCTGCTTTATCCTTATGCATCCTAAGTTGAAGCTTCCATACTACAGCACGGCCCAGGAAGGGCCCAGGATCTTCATCTGCGAACCAAACTCCCGCTTCAAAAGCCTCCTGGTACTTTTCGTACTGCTCCGGAAGGAGCGTCTTGACAACGAGGCCGAGGAGTCCTGCTATCTCCTTCGTGGCTGCGTAATATGCTCTGGTCGCTGCCACGCCTGAAGAAGACTCGTGGATGTCCGCCGATAGGTAGAGTTTCTGCCGCATGAAATTGGTGAGGATGAGAAAGCCTTGAAAGTGCGGGACGTACATCGTGGTGTCCTTGCATTACCCACCCTTGGACGAGATGGTGTACTCCTCGCCGTTCCTCTCGGATACTTCCATCCTCCATCCTGTATTCCATAACACGGTCATCTCCTCCGTCCCGGCGCTGCAGCCCATGCCGAGTCAGCTCGGGCGGGATTTTGGGCGGCAATTGGGAGCAAAGATCTTGGGTGGCCTGCCAGAGCCGCTCAAGTGCGGCTGGCTGTCAGAGACATCAGAAAGGGACTCTTATATACAACTTACAGACTTACTGGCAGACCATCGTGGACGTAACTGGCCCCTGGGTGATCGAGGCTGGTTCTCTCAGGAACATATTGAGCGTCCAGATCTTCAGCCATCTGTAAACAACATGTGAATATGATATCTGGCCAAAGACAAGTGAAAAGACTTACCGGCTTCTCCGTGTTGTCATTCTTATCTCGCTGTCCAAGATAGAACAGGAGAGGCTCGTCGTCGGCGTCAACCCACTTCCCCGATATGACCTGAGGTAGAACGTCATCTCCAAGGTGTTTCCGCGCATATTCTGCCATGTTGCCTGGCGTTGATGGCTGCAGTTCGTCCAACCGAAACTTTGTTCTGAACGTAGGAGCGTACTTGTTGAAGCTGGCAAGTTTCTTCCCCATTTGCTCATGCAACCTCTGGCGAAGGATTTCTTCGCTGAGTTTCTTCTTTGCGTGCTGAGAAAAAGGAGATGTGAGATTGCCTTCAATGGGGGGTACGGCGCAGCGGGATCTGAGCGGGTCCAACTTTGCTTTCCGCTTTTTCTGGACAGGGTTAGCTCAGGCTGCGCTCTAAGAAGAGATGGAATTACCATTGCATCGTCATCCTCCACATCCAAGAAGTTGGGATCTGCGAGCAGATTCCCTGTCTCAGATTCAGAGCTAGAAGAGTCTGAGCGTTTGCGATTGAACGACATGACGGTTGATGAGATTCAATCTGATAAGCTAAGTGCGACAAAAATGACCCCTATCTGACGGTCACGACCATCACAGGTAATGGTACAAAAAAATGCGATCCTCCTCCACCTACACCATGAAGATCTTAGCCTGCCCCCACACCTGCGTCCACGATAGCAACCATATGTTAAAAACTGCTCGCGCCGTGGGACAAGACTCTGCCTCCAAGACCTGTCTCCTGTTCATAAAAGAAGGAGGCAGCCGTTTTCGAAAGCACCTCCCGAACAACCGGGTCCACCCAAAATGCACAGCTGAATGTCCGATGCACCACCTTCTATGCAAGAAGGATAATCCTTGCGTCAAGGGAAATGAGCCATGCCCCAAGCCTGTCAAACTTCCTGACGAAACTGTTGCACCCACGCGGCAACAGTGGGAAGAGAACGCCTATGGCTTCTACCTTTTCATTACGGAGGGGAAACTGAGCAATCAAAAGGCTCATCTGGACAATTTCAAGGCAGAATGCCCGCCCGATATCTACGAGCAGAAGGTGGCGGCTCGGCTGAATCTCAACACCAGCCGTTCTTCCTCCCCACAGCAGCCACCCGCAGCAGGCCCCTCTCACCTACCGATTTCCCCACCGCGCATCTCACTACCTCCCCAAGATCCCCTACACCTCTTTACCCCTAGGCCATCCCAGCTGCCACGACCCTCTAACGCAGAGACGCCCATCCATGAAACACGTTGGTTGACGCCCCGCAATCCACGCGACTTTGGCCTTGCTCGGGAACCCTCAGCCACGCCAACCCCCTGGCACGGCCACGCTCAACCTTCGCTTGTGCTAGAGCATGAAACGACCGCTTGGGCTGTCAGACCGGCATCCAGCCTGCCCAAGGTCCAACAGGTCGTTCCCTTTCCCAAGGCAAAGGACGGGCATAAAATCAGGGGCTTCAGGAGAAAGGTCCTTTGGTTGCCAAACTTTCGAAACCCAGTCTCTCGATTTTTTGAATACGAAGGGGATCTCTTAGGCTTCAAAAGGCTAGAGCATGTGGACGAGGAACTGGCAGAAATCCTTTTGAAGGCGTGGCCAGATCATTTTTCAGTGGACAAGCTGCGTGCGAAGGAGCTTGGAAATGCTTTGACGAATGTGCCCTATGTGGTGGATGAATTTGTAAGCCTCCTTCCGCTCGTCCTCTCACCCAGACCTGACAAGTCTGCTCCAGTCAGCCTTGGCCATCGAGATGTGGGTTAGAAAGGATGCCTGGGACATTACGTTCATGGACATGGGACAGTGGATGCGTCTCGTGCTCAAAGGATCCAAGACTCCGGGTTGGATTCAACTCCAGTCCTTCGACCTGATTTGCGGGGGAATGGACTTCATTCTCGATCCTCTGTGAGTCGATCTCTTTCCTGCGGTGGTTCCGTGGCTCACGTTCATTCAGAGATCCCACCTACAGCCCAAACGCCATGCCAGCAAAGGACTTGGCTCCTTACTTGAATGGGTTGAGACATTTGAGCCAATCCGTCGTCTTTTTTCCCGACCCATTCCAGCTATGGTGGTTATCAGACAAAAGGAATATTCTTTTGTCTGTCGCCCACTGCTCTGTTGGCCTCATGGACGCCCTTGGAAAATTCCCAGCAGTATTGGGCTTCAATGACATGGAGGAACTGCACCAGATGAACGTCGATCTCAATTCCATTGTGATCAAGCGAACTATGGGGGCAAGCTCAAGCCATGTCTGGAAGGTGGATGATAACAACACGGCAAGGCAAGTCTTGAAAAAGGTGAAGGACGACATGAAGAAGACGAAAAAGATGTGGCAAACAGCGAACTCGACCATTCCAAGACCTCACTATTTCATTCAACCGCTCATCCAGGAGATGCAGCAGAAGGGTGAGGTGAGGTGCTTTTTTGCTGGAGGCGAGTTGATCTACACGGTCGGCACGCGTGCGGGTGGGTCCCAAATGGTGTCCATGGAGCCTGTAAGCATCATCCCATTGGAGAAGCTACGGTGAGTGAGACACCTCTGAGTTGCTATCTTTTGTTCACGCATTATTTTCTCAGTGCTGGTGATGCGGACAATCAACGAACGGCGTCCATGATATCCAATCAGGAGGTGTTCGACATGTTGGATAGCAATGTCCCATTCTGGTTGGGTTCCCATGGCTTTGAGCGACTTCGTAGCTTCGCCACCAATATCCTCTACAAGTTTATCAAGGGGCAGGAAGAAGATTGGAAGAAGATTGGTGCGGGGGAAAGGAACCTTTGGTCCGACCTTCGGCTTTTTGCTAGGCTGGATATTGGTGTCTTCAGGACTGAAAATGGCCAATACTCCTTCTGGGTGAGCGAGATAGAGCCATGGATGGGTGCCTGCTTATTCACAAACACTGTGAACGATAAGAGCGATGTCTTGTATAGTACGGTGACGGCTGTATTAGAAGAACATGTCTTGCTTTGACAATTATAGCTTTATATTTTGTACTTTGTTCTTTATATTCATGCCTCTGAGCAGATTTGGCTGTTTCTTGCCTGTGCCAGGACGCAGTGGATAGGCTCCGGTTTTCCGGAGTCATTAGGCGCCCAGATTGACGGTCAACGGGCGCTTATTTGCTCGGGAATTCCAGTGCAACTGAGCAAGTGATCTCAGGGGTCGGTTCTGGGAAATATGCACAGAACATGTTGCTGAATACATTCATTTTAATGGAGAGGAACCTCAGACAATGGAGAATGCGTGAGAACCTCTGACGGTCATCGGCGCTTACTTGACGGTCAGGCTGACGGTCATGACGGTCATTGGCGCTTACTTGACGGTCAGGCTGACGGTCATCGGCGCTTACTTGACGGTCAGGCTGATGGTCATGACGGTCATGACGGTCAACTTGACGGTCAGGCTGACGGTCATGACGGTCAACTTGATGGTCAACTTGCCGGTCATGGAGAGTCACAACAGTCACTGGAGGAGTACTTACCAGTGTGCAGCGTGGTAGACACAGCCTGCGATGTCCTTCAGATGTCCCTAGCATGGCGTGGGTCATAACTGTCACTGACCGTCAATCAAGCGCCCATGACAGTCATGACGGTCAGACACAATTTGTATGCCTCATTGCTCACAAACGGGACCGCCGAACACCGTCAGACTTTGTAGAGTACATTATTAGTATGTATACATGGGATATATGCAACAAGATTTGAAGAATTCCATACTTGCAAATTAGGTTTAACCTAATAAAGTGGCGTAAGATGTACCACCCACCCACTCCATGCCCACGCCGCCTGTGCCGTCTTCACTCGGTTCGCGCCCCACCCTGTGTTCCGTCCTCCTCCGCTGCCCCAAACTCGGCTTGGGGCGCGGGATCTCACGTTGACGACGATGAAATGAGTGGTACTCGATGTACCACCCACCCACTCCACGCCCACGCCGTCTGCGCTCGATTCACCCCCACCCCGCGTTCCGTCCTCCTCCGCACCCCCAAACTCGGCTTGGGCCGCGGGATTCCTCGTCGACGACAGCGAGACGGGTGGCACACGGTGTACCACCCACCCACTCCACGCCCACACCGTCGGCGCTCGTTTCGCCCCCATCCCGTGTTCCGTCCTCCTCCGCGCCCCCAAACTCGGCTTGGGGCGCAGGATTCCTCGTCAACAACGATAAAATGGGTGGTACACGATGTACCACCCGCCCACTCCATGCCCATGCCGTCTGCGCCGTCTGCACTCGGTTCGCGCCCCACCCCGCGTTCCGTCCTCCTCCGCGCCCCCAAACTCGGCTTGGGGCGCAGGATCTCATGTCGACGCCTGGCAAACGGATGGTACTCGATGTACCACCCACCCACACCACATCCCGCCGCTCACCACACCATCTGCGCTCGATTCGCCCCCACCCCGCGTTCCGTCCTCCTCCGTGCCCCCAAACTCGGCTTGGGGCGCAGGATCTCACGTCGACGACAATAAAATGAGTGGTACACGGTGTACCACCCGCCCACTCCATGCCCATGCCGTCTGCGCTCGGTTCGCGCCCCACCCCGCGTTCCGCCCTCCTCCGCTGCCCCAAACTCGGCTTGGGGCGCGGGATCTCACGTCGGCGCCTAGCAAACGGTACACGATGTACCACCCACCCACACCACATCCCGCCGCTTGTCCTGCCATCTGTGCTTGCTTCACGCCCCATCCCATGTTCCATCCTCCTCCGCTACCCAAAACTCAAGTAGGGGTGCTGGATTACGTGTCAATGCCAGAAAGACAGGTCGTACACAAAGCACCACCCACCGACTTCATATCCCAGTGCCTTCCCCGTGGCCTGTGTCCCGCCCCCTTGTCCCATACTCAATGGTCATGTCTGTAGTTTCTTACATAGTCGCCATGTATTTATGTATTTATATATGCACCCCACCTTATATAGAAATTTTGCACAGTACATAAGATTATGAGCTCCGTGTGACAATGAATTGTTTACCGTGGAAACATATTGCCCTACCTTACAGACCACCGCATCCACATCCGAAAATTCAACAATGGCCTGGTCCACCCCGTATGTGGACGATATTCTGAAGCCAGCAATTGTCGAATGGCATAAGAAGAAAAACGAAGGAAGGGAGGAAGTGATCAAACGCACCTGCAAAGAGTTGTATGCAAAGCAGGCGGCAAACACCAGCAAGTTGAACCCTTTGAAAGATGCTGCCAGTCTAGCGGGGGTGAGTTTTGACTTCACAATATTGCAGGAAAGAGAAGAGGACTCATCAACAACTAGCAAGTTGCGTGGTGGTTCAAAAATAACCAGAAGAGATATTGCAAGGATTTGGATGGGGAGGATATGGGGGCTGCAAATGACCGGAGTAAAGCAGGGAAGGGGGGCAAAGGAAAGAATAAGGCGGTAGAGGAGAATGATGAAGAGCAGGATGACGAGGATGATGAACCTGCCCGCAATGTTGATGTTCCATGGCACAAACGTATGACTGGGCCGCTAATGGCGAAGGCATGTGATGAGGAGGCCTTCAAGAAGATTTTAGCGCATCACGAAGATAAGGGATTTGGCCAGCGTTTCAACTTGGCCATCAATGAGTATTGGGGGGGGTTCACCGAAGAGGAAAAAGATGATTTTAGCAAGAAAGCGCGTGAGTGGAATAGGCAAGGCCCACCAAAGAACATGAAACCATCGTAAGAGTGTTTTAGCGCTATCGTCAGATTTTCTGACCGTTGTTATACTTAGCCTGGCAAAGCGAAACATGCAGGAGAGCATGAACAGTGTAGTAGAATACTTTGCTAAATACTACGGAGCATCGGTGATTATGTTCAGCATGGCGCCAGGAGATGATGACTCCCCAATCATTCGTTGGTATGTTGTCTGTGTACATGAGATTGATAACATTCACTTATATAATGTATATAGGCATGAAACTAAGGATGGAAAACGTCCAAGCAAGTTCATCAAGCCAAATGTCTTCCGGGCATTCCAAGAGGAGTGGTTGGAGTCGGTGCCTGCCGGTCTGTATGGAGGTGGGTGTCTGTTCTGGCACCGAGTTGAATACTAAGGATTGCGGTAGATGCAGTGAAGTCTAAGGATACAGACCCAGAGCGGGATTCCTGGGCTATTGTGGAAGAATCAGAAGATGGTATTCCCATGCTCCCAAATCTTCCAGCAGGCGCCAGGAGCGAAGCAATTGTCAGGGTGTTCCGTGAATATGGGAATTTGGTGGCAGGTAGGCACTTGTCATTGGGATAAATTCCAAATACTGACAAACAGTGGAGATATGGACTCTGACGGCAAAGTGAAGAGATTACCGTGGCTTCGTCTCTCACAGGATAACGAGGCATATATTTACCCAAAGTCTTTGATATCTGGGGTACACTTTGGGGAACCAACAAAGATGCCTATTGCCGATGTTCGCCAATATTATATGCACTTTCTGCGCCGCCAGGATAAAGGAACCATGGGTCTACGTCTCCGAGAAGGTTGGGATACTCTGTCCAAGGAAAGCGAGGTGGAGAAAGGTGAAGGGAAAAGGCGAAGGAGTTCAGTGGTGGAAGTCAGAACAAGCAAGCGTATCAAGACTCCATCTGACACAATGATGGATGTGGATGGTGATGTGGATGGTAAAGGAAGCGCAATGGACGTTGACAAGAATGGCGGAGGAAAGGATGTTCCAGTGGGCATGCTAGCGCCAAGCCAGGTCTCCGACGAGGACCGCATCATCTTTCTGAGATCTCTCTCGACAAACGGTGATTATCAAGCCATGATCAGTTGGCTGAGCCAGTGCAAGGTTAGTAGTTCCTAGATGAATCAGTTGGACGGTTGGCTGATTGTATTATAGCAAGGGCAAGTGTCCATGCGGTCTAACCAACGCCCGCCAACATGGGGCAGCTGGTCTTTGAAAACACCACATCTACCAATGGAGTTTTACACGCAGTCCAAGTCCAACAAAGAACGTGAAAGTTTCGCAGCAGCGAAGGCATACCTCCTACAGGACCCACTTCCCCATGTTGGCCTTGGTGATGTAGTTGGGCCATATGGGCGAGTCGAAACCACTGTTCTCATTGTTGGTCTCATGCTGCGTGACATGGCCAAAGTTTGTTTTCTGGAGCCTGGTAGTGATGAGGCCCAAAGTCTTCCTGGATACATGCAAGATTCTTCTTTCGCAATCAAGGAGTGGGAGGAACTGGGCGAAGTTTGCAGCGGAATTAGGAACAGCCTGCGGAAATGGTAAGCCATTAATTTCTTAGTTCAACTTGAATTTGAATTTAATTGGTCCGTACTTAGGGAGGAAGACCAGATAAAGCGCGGGCAGGCCAAGAATGCCGGCCCTAAAGCCAAAGACGCCGGCCCTAAAGCCAAAGACGCCGGCCCTAAAGCCAAAGACGCCGGCCCTAAAGCCAAAGACGCTGGCCCTAAAGCCAAAGCCGAGCTGAAAAGGGATTGGATCGGGAAAGCATCAAGGATTCCTAAAGATCTGTTAACTCTGGCTAGTTCATGTGGTTTACTCCGTGAGGATGCTCACATCTTTCAAAGCTTCGGGGCAGATTGGAGGGCAGTGGTTGATAATTATTGGGCACTGGAGAAGGCATTATTAGGGAAGGCTGTTGACGGGGATGGGGTGCCTCATCATGTTGAAGGATTACCAACTGCGGTGGATGTCTGGGTTGATGCTTGGCAAGAAGAAGGTTTGTTTGATGTGGATGGCTTGATAGGTGATGCCAAGTTTGGTGAAGATATGTGGAAATGGTGGAAGAAGCAGAAGGATGCAGATAAAGAGGTTCGTGAAGAAAAGGGGCTGGATGGACTCTTGGAGCAACCACATCTCCAGCGTGGTGGTAGGGGACTGTTGGTGATGTTATGGGCGGTCAATGTGTGGGGAAAGGGTGTGGTGAGGCGTCAAAAGCCTCAAGGAGCAGAGGCCCAACAATGTGTCACCGTCTGCAAGGAGCTCCGCCTGCTTTTTATTGAGCTCTTGAAAGCACCAGCTTTGTGAGTGATATTCATGGGGAATCAAGTCAAGGTAGCTGATATATCTCCTAGAGGTGGACGTACTACCAGAGCCCGGTAATAACACATGGCGATGTAATGTAAATGTCTTGTGCTCAAATATGCTCATTTTCATGGTGTCTCAATTTGCGGGAATGTGTGTATTTTATCTGCGCCGAGAGTCTCAGCACATGGATATTCCATGTTTATCCCCACCGAGAGTCTCAGCGCATGGATATTCCATGCTTATCCCCACCGAGAGTCTCAGTGCATGGATATTCCATGTTTATCCCCACCGAGAGTCTCAGTGCATGGATATTCCATGTTTATCCCCACCGAGAGTCTCAGTGCATGGATATTCCATGTTTATCCCCACCGAGAGTCTCAGCGCATGGATATTCCATGTTTATCCCCACCGAGAGTCTCAGCGCATGGATATTTCAGATTCACCTGCTGTCCCCTTACCAACTCAAGTCTATCCACCCTGGAAGTACCAGTGGATGGGTATTCTAATTTATCCACAGTGGGAGTGCCACAGGATGGATATTTCAGATTCACTTGCTGTCTCCTTACAAACTCAAGTCTATCCACCCTGGGAGTACCAGTGGATGGATATTCAGCTCCTGTAGTCAGTTTATCCCACCCTGGAATTTTCCGCAGGATAAAGTTTACTGGAACTGGGAGTCTCAGAACAGATATACTCCAGCTCACCTGGGTGCACCAGGGACAGATATATCCCGGCCGGGTCCAGCTTGCCCTGGGAGTACGGGGGGGTGTAGTTTCTATCCGTCTGGGAGTACCAGACAGTTTACACTGAGGTATGTGAATGCTTGAGCCTCTGCGTCGCTTCATACCTTGTGGGGGATATTCATCATCGTCACTGGAGTCACCTTTTGAGTCCGGGATGTCCATCAGCCATTTTGAAATATCCTCTGTCGGGGGCGCGTCCCACGCCCTGTAGATAAGGGCAATTTTGTCAAGAATTGGCCAACGTTCGAAAAGCTCAGCCCGCATCTCAGCGGCGAGCCCGACGAGTTTTGAGCCAAACTCGTAGATTGCAAATTTTGGGTGGATATGGCATTGAAGGGGTGGCAGCTGGTCGAACGGAAATACATGTGTTGTGAAAGTAAGGTTGTCGGGCTCGTGTCCCAGCTGGCGGTGAATGCCAATGGTTTCCATGCCTGGATGAAGCGGGATGAGTCGGTATGAGAAGACCCCGTCCTATAATACGCTATTGAATCAGAGGCAATAAAGCAAAAATACTTGGATGTACTTACGGGGACTTCAACAGACCCCCTTTGATAGTGCTCCTCTTCGTCAATGTTGTTCGCATACTTGTTGATTATATCGTCGGGTGGCAGCAACCCCCAACGGTGATTGTCATGAAGGCCGTGCAGAGAAGATCCAGCTAAATAATCGCATGATGTCATTAATCCTGAGATATCAAGGTGAAAGAGCCTGGGTTACCGAGCAAAATATTACGCCTCGTATCCAGGTCCAGGGTTGAATGTCTCAGCCCCCAGTACCACTCAAGATTTGTCATCTACGATGATTGAGTGAGTTTGCTAGTCGCGATGACTAATCTGGAGACATACATTGTCGGTGAACTTTGTAAAGCTTCGTGGTATAACATGGCAGTATTCAACCTCCCGAAACTTTAGGCAGTTTTCGATGAGGCAGCGGCCTTGATTGGGATCAACAGAGTCAACTCTGATTTTAGTGCCCCGTGAGGGCACCCAAGGCGGGATTCTGGGGTCTTTTGCTGGCTCATGAATGGTTGATACGAGGATGGGTGGGTCAAATCTATCCTCGATGCCAAACGTGTCACACATGCACTGATCTTCTCAAGCCTCAAGGAAAAAGCAAAAACATGACATAAGCATCCAGCCACACTAACTACAAATCGAAAGTACACGCGGACGATGCAGCCCAATCAGATATTCTCTTCCGGGTCCATCCACTTCTGTCACTGCGTCGGTCGTGACATAACAAAGCATGAGCAGAAAGTCGAGCGCGCTTCTGTGAAGACATGGACAGCTCATCAAGGCTGGCAGACCTTTCCCGTTTTGCAGATACCCTTGGACGTGGGCGTATCGGGATAGTACCTTCGCTGATTCCGCCGCCATAGCCTGAGTCTGACGTGCTTCTAGACTCTGAAAGAGACGCGAAGGATTCGTGATCGCAGGCAACCGCCGGAACGGATACCATCCAAGCACGATGAACGGACATCAATGTCCAAAGGATGGGCCAATGAAGGAGGAGCTCTTTGCGTCGATTCTGATCGACCAAACCCAGTTTATAACCAAGGGCAGCGATTGCGAACTTGGGATGAAGGTGCGACTCGAGGTTCTGAAGCTCTGAGAATGGATGGACGGATGTGATAAAGCTACTTGGTGTAGGAGGATGAGGGGTCGGATGATCATGCTGGTGTAGAATGCCCATAGACTCAATGGCCTTGGAAAGTGGAAGGAATCTATATGTGAAGACGCCATTCTGGAGAAGAGATCAGCACGGATAAGAGTCGGATAAGCTCAAGTACGCACTTGTACAGTGTCTCCCTTAGGCCGGCTTGCAAAACCAAGACTAAGTCCTCGGGCATAGTGATGAACAATGTCATCTGATGGGAGTAACCCCCACTTATTCTCTTCATATAGACGGAGGAGCGAAGAACTGACTATGAGACCAATCAGTCTCAGGTGAAACGTATGGAAGCTCATGAGGAGGAGAAACTTACTTGGAAAGACGTTGTACCTGGTATCAAGGTTCAGGGAGCCGTGCTTCATCCCCCAGAACCACTCCAGAGACGACATCTACAACATCGGGACATGAGGCCAGTCCAATAAGTCAATTTAGTCAAAGAAGGGATGACTTCTACGATTCGTTCATTCCGCAACAGATATGTTGGAAGGAGGTAACAATGCTCGACAGCGAGATCTTGGCGGTTCTCGATGAGACACCGTTGACTGTTTGGATCAACACGGCCAACAAGTTTCTTGGCATCTTCTGAAGGTTTGTCGTCATGGATATACCGTCTCGACAGCATGGTGCAGGGCGAATCTGAACCTCCAGTCATCAGTGTTGCCAAACTTTGACCAAACTTGCATCAACAGAGCCCAATTCATCCTCGGACTGAAGAACTGTACTGCTCAGAGTTTGGTTTCATGATCTACTATTTCCACCATCCGACTAACTGAATTTACCTACTAACTCAACATCGATACAGTCACTCCCGCATTCTTCGGTGCCGGCATGCTTAGCCGTTTGAACCGTTGCAGCTTCCGTATGTTCTACACTCGCCCTGGACGCCCACAGCAAACTTATCTTGGGCTGCTATAGCCCTTTTCTCACCAGCAACGATTCCCTCAGCTTTCCTAACAGATGTCGACCGCTCATCGCTGCGAGCTGCCGTCGTCTACACTCCCTCTGCCTACACAGTATACGACAAAGGCTCTGCTCTCGCTCGAAAACTCGCCCTCCACCTCACGTCCTTGCGCCGTTGAGCTCAGCCCGCCTCCAAGATGACCTCCACACCACAGCCTCCTCTAACTAACACCCGCCTTGTGCAACTGGATAGCTATCGGTAGGCGATGACTATCGTCACTGACACCGTGAGTCTACCTTACCGATAGTAATACAGGGTGACTCATCTCACCACACTGCCACCATCATCCACTCTGACCTCGTCGCTCAGCTGAGAAGTAATGTGTAAGAAGCATCCGAAAATCTGCAAATGCAAGTTGCTTACCTGTATAGTGGTCCAGGCACAGCTCGCATCTTTACCAACCAACCACCCTCAATTCTGTTCTGTCCTCGCCAACACAAACAAGTTGCTTCCTCGCACCATCCACTCGGCCACGCAGTGTGCCAAATAACGGTGCTGCGTTCCTGCTTTCCGTCAATGAGCTTTGAGTTTGGTCACTCCATGCTAGCTCCAAAGCCATCTGCGCAGAGCACCAGACTGCGTCCCTGCCCCTCTGATCATCTTCCAGCCACCCATGTCGTCATAGCTTGGCTGTGCTTTTGTGCACTCGTGGATGCAAACGATCGAGCGATGCTTAAGAGGTTTGCATCCCAGCTTGTCGATAAACACCCCACGAATGACGGGTCGCCACCATTGCCCAATAGCCCCACCTTAAATCGTTCACACTGTCACGAGCCCAAACGAGCATTGGGTCCAATTCCTCGTGCGCGAGATCGTCGACCCAGCATGACAATAAGACTCGGCCTGGGACTCGCACTTTGCGAGTGCCGCGTCGTTGTTGTTGACTCTGATTCGAGGTGAAGGGCGTAGGCCACCTTCTGGGCCACGCCAGATACCGCACATCCCGATTACACCACTCGCTTGAGCGCCGCAAGACCTTTTGGATCTTCACTGACAGGCATGCCAATGCCAACCTCCTAGCCCGAGGGCTTACGAGATGCGGGTCCATTGTAATGAGACATGGATTATAAGCAGTGATGGGGATAATTTACGGCCAGAGAGCGCTGGTTGGAATCGCGAGAGGCAGCGGTAACGCGTCGATAGGTGGTTGTAGAGAGGAAACGGGTTGGGAGTGAATGAACAGTGATTGACGCGAGGCGTCGTGCTTCGGAGATCAGGCCTAGACAGAAAGTCGAGAAGGGAAGACATGGCTCTTAGCGTGTCAAGAGGCGTTAGGATCGAACCTCCTTCGGGGCCCAAACCTCTTCCAAGTTAGCCTCATAGGATTCGGCACTCAGCTGGGTGAGGGCCGCATTGAGGAAGGGCGGGCGACTAGGAGGAAAGCTCTGGGAGGAGCAGTGGCGTCAGAGTAAGAAAAAAGGGTATTGGGTTAATCTGACCTGAGAGCGAGGCGAAGCCTCGACCAGATCAAAGCGGGCTGGGGGGCTGGGGGGATGTATCGGACTGATGAGATTCTATCGAGTCCTCGCGGCGTAGACGTGGGTAGAAGAAAAAAGGTGTCATGACAGGGAGACACTTGAACTCCTTCCGCGGGCGGCGGCGGCGGCGTGCCCCATCGTCAGATCCGTCGCTGGAGAGCTCCCGTGCCAACTGTGGTGGTTTAAGCGGTATACGTGTGATTTTCGTGAAAGAGTTCGGCG